AAAGAATGAGGCTTAGGACCTGAAGGATGAAGTGGTGAGGGAAGGCGGGAGGATTCGATGGGAGGGGCCCTCTCAGGAATGCAGCCTCCCACTCATTCCTGCCCCCAGCTGGCCCCTACAGCCCTGCCCATCCTCAGCAGGACATGCCCTGTTCACTGTGGCCCCCAGAAGAACAGGCACATGCCTTCCAGGAGCAATGCCCTTATCCTTGGGCTTGCCTAGCACCTCCTCAGACCTGAGCCCCTCACCAGTGCTGCCAGGATGAAGCAGGTGGCAGCCAGGGTCCCTGGGGTGGGAAACGAAGACACCCAGTTTCCTGTTCCCTTTGATTAGTCTGCCCCTAGTACAGGCCTTTGAATTTGTCTCGCCCCTGGGAAAGTTACCTTGAGTCCTTGGAAACCCCCCTGAGAAACACAGAGCTCCTCAAAGGAGTAGGCTCAGAAATAACTCAGCTCAGAAATAACTGCTGCGTGGGCCTGGACGGCGGGTACGGGAAAGAAGGAGGAAGGTGCTGGTCAGCCCAGAGTGCCCTCTCGCCTCCAAAGCTTTGATGCCTACGACCTGGGCCTCACCTTCCCCCATCCAGGCCCTTGGTGGTGGGGGGTTCACATCAAATATAGAGGTTAGCAAGAAAAGGAATCTGAGACGTTAGCATCATACCTGACACATTAGAGGGAGCTTAATAAAAGCTTATGAAATGGCTCGTTGAGTACTTATTGTGTGCCAGGCATGTGCTGAAAGCTTATTGAGTCATTTAATCCTTACGACAATCCTCTGAGGTAGGAACTGTTATTCTCTCCATTTCCAGATGAAGAAACTGAGGCTTAAAGAGGTGAAGTGCCTTACCAAGGTAACACAGCTAGGAAATGGTTGGTGCTAGGACTGAAACCCAGGTAGTCTGGCTTGTGAGCCTTTGTTCCCTCCAAAATGTCTGGGATTCTGGAGGTACAAAAGGGAAGAGAAATGGTAGGGTACCAGCCACAAGCAGAAGTTCTAGGGGTGCCTAAGTCTCAGGATATTTTAGACTACCTGGGTCAGCCACCCACACTGCAAACCTCACCTCTGACTAGGGGGTAGAGGAGGAGGGAAGATGCAATCCAGAGTGCCCTGAGGGAGCAGAACCTCGGGCAGCCACCTGCAGGGAGGCAGAGTCTACTCTAGGGGAGGGACAACAGTCCCCTAGGAATGGCCTCTGGGAACTGGGTGAGGCATGGAGAGAAATTGGAGACAGCAGAGGAGGCCTCTTGCCGGCAGTTTCAAGCTCCAGGCCAGCCTCTGTACCACAGACATTACTGAGGAAATGGGTTCCTCGGAAGTTGCCATAGCAACTCCAGGCTCCGGCTGGGGCTTGGCAAAGAAAGGCAGGGAAGGAAAAGGCAAGTCCAGGGCACGGGAGCGCCTGGCTAATGCCAACCAGATAAGACAAGGGAGCCTCCCCTGCGTCTGCCTTGGACCTCTCCCCTGTCTACCACTAGCCACCTCAGCCAACATCAAAAAGGCTTCCCTACACCAGGCCCCTTTTTTTCTCTTCCGTGATGGTACCTCCCCCACACACCCATACCTATCCCCAATCAGGCCCCCCTCAGCTCCCCAAATGCCCCCCAATACCTCTTTCATCAGCCACTCCCCTCTTCTACTATAGCACTCCCTCTTGTATCCGCCAGCCCCAAACCTCCAAAAATGGCTCCAATGGCTCACTCCAACACCTCCGCTCCTCACCACCCCCTACCAGGACAACCTTCAACCCCACCCTCGGGCGTTTCCCCCCAAATCCTCACGTGCCCCCACCTCCATCACTCCAAGCCCTCTGCCTCCACCCGAGCCCCCTGTCCCCATCCCACCTGGCCCCAGTCCCCTGATACTTCACATCCCCCTGCTTTCCCAGGCCCCTGGCCCCATCTACCCCCTGACCACCTTGCTCTCTTCTGTCTCCTGGTTGTGCTCTTGCTCCCTCCTGCTCTCCCGGGAGCTGCCGTGCGGAACGGTTCCGTTCCTCCCAGAAAAAGGCCCACATGGGAACAGGAATGTGCAGAGAGATGAAAAGGCAGCAGCTGCTGAGACAGCAGGCACGGAGGGGGCCCCCGAGGGGGGGGGATCCTGGGGACAACTGGAGCCTGAATGGGTGAGGCAGTAGAGGGCCCCCGGGAGAGTGGAGATCTTGGAGGAAACAGGAAGGGAGAGGGGGTCCACGAGACCATGGAGATGGCACAGTAAGCCAGGACAGGTGGGAGCAGGAGGATGTAGGTGGTGATGGCACAGGAGGAGGATGGAGCCATGTGGGAGATAAAGTGGGTAACTGGGGCCAGGAGTGGAAGCAGTTGGGGGTGGAGAAGTGCACAGAGAGATGGATGATGCTGGGGACGTGGAGGGTAGAGGCTGATGAGCGGTGAGGGGCAGTGCAGGACAGCATGGTGAGGTAGGACAGAGTGGGCCCAGGTGAGGCCATTACTTACACGTGGATTGAGAGCGCCCGTCCTCTGTACAGGCTGAATGCGCTGCCGTACAGGTCACTGGCCACCGAAAGGCTATCCTCTGACCCCCAGCTTGCGCCCACCAGATTAGCTCGAGACGCCCGCACCAGCGGCTCCACCCCCAGGTGCCGTGGCCCGGCCCCGGTTGCCTGTGCTTGCCTTGGGCTGCCCGGGAGGCGGCAGGTGCCACCCCTGCTGCCCGCTTCCTGCTCCAGGACCGTCTGCCCGCTGCCCCACCAGCTCACTTGCTCCTCTGAGGTGCCTGTCACGGAGGTCGGGGGTGTGTCCAAGGAGGTGCCCACCAGGGTGTCAGAGCCCCCTAGAGAAAGGAGCACAGTGAAGCTCGGCAGCTCTTGGGGACAGCTCGCCTGCTGGCTTTGTGAGCGCCCCAGAGAGCTCACCCGTGGGGGTGCTGAAGGCCCCGTCATCCCGAAGCTCCAGGCGCTGGGTCCCCTGCACATCGCTGATGTCATCCTCACCCGTCTCCGAGTCTGAAGAAGAAGGGGTCTGTGTGGGCAGGACTCTCCTCCCTCTGACTCCAACGCTTCCCTCTGTCACCTTCTGCCTCCCCCACAGCAGGCTCCATATCGTCACCGGGAAAGCTTCCAGAACCTAGCTTCTCCCCCTCTTTTGCTCCCCACATCCCTCTGCCTATCCTGGGAGGCTCAGGGTAACCCCTCCCATGCTGGTCCCCTGGCTCCATCTCTGGGCCCTTGGCTCCTCACCCCTGCCTCCTTGGTAGTGCCCCCAAAGCTACCTAGAGTACACCCTCCCAGCCACTTAATGGATGGCAGGGCCGCAGCCCCTCTCCATCCTCCCCTGTTGGTGACAGCTTGTGTTCCTGAGCAGCCCCCAAAATCACAAGGTCCTAGGTGCCAAGGCTCTAAGTGCTGGGTTCCAGTACCCCAGGAACAAAGGGGAGTCACCTCAGAGTCGTACTGTCAGGGCACTCGACCAACCGCAGGACCAGCCTGTCCTCCACCCCAAATCAGCTGGAACACATCCGGGTGCAGCTGAGGCAGGGTGAGGAGAGGCCAGGTCGGGCAGGGAAGTGGGGGAGTGGAGGGCTAGGGTGGGAGCCAGTTTCCTACCGTAACTTTGCTTTCTGCAGGAGCGGAAAACTTCGCTTCCATAGGAGCAGCAGGAGAGAGACATGGACAGACTGTTATCAGAGCGTTTGTGGGGTAGGGCATTGTGGGCAGGCAGGACGGAGGGGCCATGAGGCTACCCAGTGCCCAGAGATGCCCTGTGGGGATGGGAGCAAGGGGAGGGAGACTACCTGGGATGGGCAAAGCATCTCATTCTCTGCCTGCCTGCAGGCTCGGCTGGGCCCACCTTTGGGCAGCCCATGTGCTTTGGCAGATTATTCCAACTACCCCAGTGATTCTGGGCCCTTGGCAATTTCACTGGTGCTCCCACTGGCCACACACACACACACACACACACAACACACACACACACCCTACCTACGTACTACACGCCCACCGACCACTAACCCG